GCATGAATATTACTGGGATATTGGCTGTTTATTATTACTTAAGAAGCACATATTAATGTCTTATTCTGCAAGACCTTATTCTAAATCCTTAATCCTACCCAATTCTTAAACCTAACAACTACTTTACTAAGTATTAATAAGCAGTAATTAGGAGTATTTTGAGGCAAAAGTTATAGTTAATAGTTAGTTAATAGTGATAGTGAGATTAATAGTGAGAAATGGACCCTAATCTAAAGTGTGACCAGAATAATTTATGTAGTTACTTGAAAGAATTAAAAGAACCGTTTCATGTCTATCCTTATTTAACTTGTCGAGGTTGATATAGGATTTTGAAAGTAATTAGTAATAAGTAATTAAATACTTTTTGGAGAGAATAATTTGTACAGTAATCTAATTACACTGTTGAAGAACCCAACACTGCCTATTTGTAGTGGATGCACTTGATTACTTTTCCTGTGGTAGCCTATGTTATGTTTTAATGACAGCGAGGAGTGCTAGGTGCACAATAATTTATCTTTAAAGTAAACTGCACATCTCATATTATGAGAAAATATTTTTAGCGAGAACAATGATCAATGATGCGCACTTACTTCGATATTGTGGCGGACACTGCTGGATTCGGTGGAACGGTCTGTTGTCCGGTTTGAATAGGACCAATGATAATAGCTTACTGTACAACCACAGCTGCACGGAAGTGTTGATGTCGTGTAAAGGCATCTCCACAACATTATGAAAAATACCACTGTATTTGAAGGATACAACTTTAAGAAAACGGTAAGAGTTGCACGTTTCCTTTTTAAAATAATTTGTCAATGACACGCAGAGTCAGATAATTATATTTACACTGCAATAAATATAAGCCTATATTTTTCCACTAAAAAATAGCTAAAAGATGTTCACCTTATCAGCAAAACTGCATTAATTTAATTTAATTTGAATTTTTTTAAAACAATTGAAATATTATTGGGCCAGTGGAAACAAGATCGACTCTATTCTAAATTATTTTTCTGAGAACTATTTTAAACAGTTTTTTATGGATATTTTGATATATTTATTCTAAAACATAAC